AGGAACTGCGAAGGTTGTAGAGATATTGAAAAGTCAATTTGTTTCTTCTATATTTTACATAAGCTAAAAACATCATAATTCTAGTATAAACGATGTTATCATTATCCCTTGAAGTTAGCTTTCTTACAACCATCTGGTGTTCCTTTAAAAAGCTTAAGTACAGGGTGAAATGGGGAATCACCAGCCATTAATAGATGAACATTAGATGTTATTATAGACATTCATAAAATAATTACTTTAAAAGACACAAAGGTTTATTTTAAGGCAATGTTTTATACGTATATGTTTTATTTGAAAAAGGTTGCTTTTCTACTGTAAAAGTTTATACATGCTTAGTGGAAGTTGTGTCTTAGTCAAGGCATATATTTGCCCATTGCTATGTATTATATAGAGATAATTTAGTTACACAGAAACTATCAATGCTCACTATATTCTTAAACAAATCTCCATGACAGTCTCTAGCTTAACATTTTACATCTCAAATTAATGCAATCAAATAGTCAATAGCTACAGTAAATCATAATGAACTGTATCGGCTAGCTACTAGCTATGTTTATTGTCATAACAGTGTATAAAGTTATCTACCATATGATGTAATCTTTTGCCCATAATTGAATATAAAAAAGCCAGCAAACAAGATAAATAAAAAATTGGGAATTTAAAAATCTGCAAATAGCTGGAGATACTGTAGACATTATTTACTCAAACTACAAATTCCTATTTTGACTCCACTAAATGTAATGCCAGGTAACAGCATGGAGCCAAAATAGGGGTTTTTAGTTTAAGTAAATAATGTCTACAGTATCTCCAGCCTTGTTTCCTTACTTTTTACGATCCATATTTGCAGGTTTTTAAATTCCAATTTTTTTTATTTATCTTCTAAGCCATAGGCTTGAGTGTTATTTCTGTTGCAACATACAGATCTGTATGATACTTCTTTTGTTTGTTTGTCTTTTAGTGTAAACCTGTACATGACTACCTTTGCATTTCCCACACACAGAAATTGAACCCCAACTTTTAGCATTATGAAGTTTTAAGCTTACTGCTAAACCAATGGGGTATGATACTTCTACTATAAGCTATAGGTGTGATGTTTCAGTTACAGCTAAACATTTGCATTCCATCTTATACAAGCTGTAGGCTTGTTTTTTCCAATACAAATTATAGGTTTGTTTCTTCTAATATGAGCTGTACGCTTGTATTCCTTCTAATACAAGATAATACAGGTTTGTGTTTCTCTTAATATAAGCTATAGGTTTGTGTTTCTCTTAATATAAGCTATAGGTTTGTGCTTCTCTTAATAATAAGCTATAGGTTTGTGTTTCTTCTAATATAAGCTATAGGTTTGTGTTTCTCTTAATATAAGCTATAGGTTTGTGTTTCTTCTAATATAAGCTATAGGTTTGTGTTTCTTCTAATATAAGCTATAGGTTTGTGTTTCTCTTAATATAAGCTATAGGTTTGTGTTTCTCTTAATATAAGCTATTGGTTTGTGTTTCTTCTAATATAAGCTATAGGTTTGTGTTTCTCTTAACATAAGCTATAGGTTTGTGTTTCTTCTAATATAAGCTACAGGTTTCTATGCTACTTTACCACAATTAATAGGTATGTGTATTGTTTCTTTAGGAAGCTCTTAGTTTTCTGTGTTTAACCTTTTAAAACAAAGTACAAGTTTTTCATATTTAAAATATATTTATAAAATTAAGTATGATCCTACCTCCACTACTACTCTTAATTGTTTATACTATCAGAAAGCTCTTCAAAAGGACATTACAAATTCTTTACTTTCTATGTTCCATCAATTTATTTAGTTTATTGTAATTGTGTACCTTCAGCTATTTGCTGATATGAAAATTCTAATGCTTAATAATCATTAACTATGTTTAAGATAATAAGTCTTATTTCCCTAGGTCCACAAATGTAAGACTTTAAAATCTGTATAAAAATTATTTTAGCTAGAAAGAAATGCAGTAAAAACATTTTCTTCAACTGTAACTATTTTTATTTTGTATAATCTTTTGACAATTAATGACCAAAATAAATCTGAATTATTTTTTTATGGTGAACCAATACGTGCACATATTAAGTGAGATTCAATTTTTCAAGAAAATGTTTAATAAAGCTTAATATATAGAGTTGAGTGATAGAGAAACCTACCTTCTAATGGCTAATCTCACACTTTCTTCATTATGAGTTGCAATAATGATGTTGCATGTTGATTGGCCAGTTTGAACATGATCTAACATGTACTTTACAACCCTGTAAGATGACAAGCTCTCTTTCAAAACAAGCTAACCTACAAACTACATAATGATACCTTTAAATCATATGCAAACTGCTTTTAAGCTATACTTTTATTATGCTCAAATGAAGAGAAATAAAATGGCAAATAACTCCAGGGTTAGAAAGCTTTCAACTACTCCCATCTTCAGGATGATAATCAAAATCAACAGAAAAGTAAATTCAAAATTGTTAAATGAGGAGTAATTATGTACTTATTTAATTTGTTACTAATATCACGCTCATCATGAATCTCAAAGGATAAAAGTATGAAAATCATCCTTGGACACTGTTCGTGAAACCACATATTTATCTCAAAATCAAAGTACATAATATTTAAATACAAATTCAGTGCTTCTTTTTATTAAAAAGCTCTTATTCATTTCTTCTAATTACAATATTTATGATTAGAGCAAATATAAATATTAAAGAATGATGGATGAAGCTATTAGATCCCAAAGAAGTGCTGAAACTAAATTTCCAGGATTTCACTAATATCAGGTTTCCATATCAAACTATAACTATGATAAAGTAAAAATAATAAATATTTGATTGTCATAAAAAATGGGAGGAGCTAATAAAAAGTATTTCATTATAGATGAAAAAAGGAACAATACATTTCTAGTGAAAACAAATTAATAGACTGAGCTTACAATAATAAAATTAAGAACATTTTCTTTCATGCTAAATATATATATATATGCTTCTTATTATCTTATACTGTAACTCATCATTCATCACACCATCCTGAGAGAACAAAGTACGTAATTTTGATTTCAAATATAACGATCACTATGAGACAACTAAACATAATAAAAAAAAAACTCATGTTTATCACCATTGTAACTTACAACATACATAATAGTGTATCTGTTAAAAAACTAACTCTAAGTAAAGAACTAAACATCAACAAGTGTATAATTTAAGGAAGCAATCTTAATTGAACAAAACATCACTACTCTAAACCAGCACTCCAAAATAACTTCACTAAGCTATTAAGCAATCCCTGGTCATTTGAACCTCTTTGTTCCATACTATGTGTGTATTGCTGTAAACTGCTTGTACCTGATGATGACAAAACCTTCACCAAACATTGTACATTGTTACTATGTTAAACTTGTAATAGTTTTCTTCATTTCCAAACTTTAAAGGAGGCAGTTGTCCTAGCATTTATTTTCAAGGGGTCTCAAGTGAATCTTCTTTTTTTTTGTTAAAAAATTGTAATTAGTAACTTTGAAAAAGGGACTGGGAGGTGGGCAAGTACTCCACAAAAAACACTTCATACCAAACAGCTAAGTCACTTTTGAGAAAAAATATTCATTGTTATAATGATATTGTTTTAGGAAATATGCCTCCACAAACTTCAAGAACATTAATGTATACATTCAACACACACACACACATACACATACATATTTTTCAAACTTTTCACTGATCACTGGAAAATATTCTTAAAACTAACTGTTACACTGTTGAAGTGTACCTGCTACATACTTATTGTAATTATTGTTTGTTGCTTCATAGTTTTCACAGATGGGGCTTGGATATCCCAGACTAACTGCTCTCTGATGCTCCTGGACCATGTAAGCCCCTCGAACAATCTTAGCACCAAAACAAACCCCAAGTTTTTGGCTCATTTCAACTTCAGTGGTGATTGTCTCCAATGCTTTCTATAAATCAGTTAAAAATATTAGATGTAATAGCATCTTCGACTTAACTAAAACACTATTTGTTTGTTTTTTAAATAAACAAACCTTCAAGAAACGTAAAATTAACTTCTTAACCCTCTTCTTTACTAGTTTTAAAACAGACATATTTGTTGTTGTTAATGGGCTATCTGTTTTGTAACCACTACAGGAATTGAATTCTGAATTTTGACCTACTGGGGGACAACATAAATATAGCAAAAGTATTTTTGTAGAAAACAGAAAAATAGTGAATTAAAAAATGAAATTTAAATAGTGCATTATCGATGAACTTATAAAGGGGTACTTAAATGTTTCTTTATTGTTGGAAATAGTAGTCTAAGAGATTTCATACATTGTTTAGATTCCATGTTTTGATCTGTTAGATAAATCTTCATTGGACCTGAAAGGTGAATGAAAGCACGAAAACCATTATACCCTTTTAGATACGTTACAGTCCTCCCCATAAACCTTCTTAAAGAAATGAAAAAATTCTAATTACTAATACAAGATATGGGGAATAACTTTTAAACTTAAAAACTGTTGTATGTTGTTTACTGTGTTTTAAGTCCAGTTACTGTTCAGTGATATCTGATAACTATACGATAAGAGTAGATTGGAACACCATCTAGGAAATGTTGAAAAAATCATCCTTCCGGTATAGAAACTAAAGGAATTAATCCATTGCACACCTACCTTTAGATAACACTGGTAAGTATTCCAAATAACAGGGCTGTCTGTATTGAATATTGCCATGAGTGCCATTGTAAGAAGATTAATGGCGGGGTTTAGATAAGTATATTCTGCATCAACTAAAACTTTTACTCCTTTAGTTTGTGCCATCTATTAGAAAAGAAAAAGACAAACACAAGTTTTCAAACAGCTATAAGGCTCATATTCTTGCAATCTTTGAATGTATTAAAAGGGCCCAAGAGAAGCGGAATCTCATATGGAATCTGAGTTATGAGCTTATTTGTCATTTTGTGATGTACATAATGTTTAGTGTTAATCATAACTACATAAACTTTGGTAGGGAATTTCAAAAAGTTTCTGAAATGTTATTCTTAATAACTAAACATTCATGCATGATAAAATAGAAAGTATAGTTCTAATTGTTCAAAAAGAAATTTTTGTAACAAAATATAACAGAAGTTTTATCATAAAACTTGAAATACCTGTGTAATTATGAATGTCAGATAGAAATACGAGTTTCTTTGTAAAACTAAATTATCATGAGCCCTTATAGCTATTCTGTATTATGCCACAGTAACTAATATATCTACTTAAAAGACAAAACTCGTACCACTTGACAAGAGGAATTTGACTTCATTGAGCTTCACTTGTAACAGAGGATGTTACTGAATTACCAAGTACCATAGGGGCTGTCAAGTAACCATCTTCCCAGTTTAGAAACTGAAACTGTGAAAGGTTACTATCAGTTCCTAATATATGGAATGTTTGAGAGGATTTTTCTAATTACAGGCAGTATGAAAACTTCTCAGTTTAATCTCGAATAATACAAGTATCTATAAGTTAGTAAAAAAGCAATTCCAAGTAGAAATGTGAGGGTTTGAGGATTTTTCTAATTACAGGCAGTATGAAAACTTCTCAGTTTAATCTCGAATAATACAAGTATCTATAAGTTAGTAAAAAAGCAATTCCAAGTAGAAATGTGAGGGTTTGAGGAATTTTCTATTCGAGTATAAGAATAATTTTCTTAAGTGAAAAATTTGTATTTAATAGATTTTTTTTAAATTGGTGAATTTTGATTTAATTATGAAAATAGATAATGAATAACCTGTTTAGCTTCTCTCAGCATATATGTACATCTTAGAATACTTAAAACTGGAGCTTAGTTAAAACAGTTAGTCTTCATCCAACAACTAACTTTAGAAAATCTCTTACTTTACTTGGTTTGTGCCTCCAACAGTGATAGTTAAACCTCTAAAGAAATCAAATATAATTTCATAAAAGTAAATCATTAAGAACAAAGGTGAAATGACCAGCAACTGCCTAGTTCAGAGTGACACTTGTAGAGAAAGCCTCAGAGGACTAGCCTACAAAAGTGGCTCAGGTCTTTTGTCTTTGACCTGAAAACTAAAAAAGGAAGTCTTTGAAACTTCAAAGACTTTCTTCAACTATTCCTCTGAACTAGGAAGTTGCTACCCATTTCACCTTTGTTTGCTCCAAATTAATTTCTGTCTAAACTATCTATAAAAGGAAAGTGTATCATAATACAACCAATGTTTATTCTAATAACTGAATATTAAACTAGGATTAATGACAAATTCATTAAAAAAACATAAACAGTTCAAAAATTAAGTAAGAAAGTAAACCACATAAAAATAAACAACTGTAATTGAAGACTTATAATTTATTATCTGTTACTGGAAATAAAGTTTTTTAATTTCACAAATCTTTGTTTGATGCTGTTTTAATTAATGTGATCTTCACTCTCCTGTATCTGGTAAAAATGTTAAAGATGTTTTACCTGAATAAGGTTTCATAAAACATATGGGCCATAGACTTTAAGGACACAAGTAGGGAAAAACTACCATGAAAGTAACAAAAACTTCTTGAGATATTGTTCATTTTATTTCATGACCCTATTTGCAGACTTATATATATATATCTTAGCTATCTTGAAGTGTCTTACCATGCCAATCTTGTGGAATCTTCTCACAGCATGCTCCAAACACTGCCTTTCTTGTCTGGTCAGACCATCAAATAATTCACTCATCTACAACCAAACAGTTCACCAAACTTAGAAAAGATTAACATTGAAAAATTACAACAAAACAAGCAGAAACCTGAATAAACTGTGGAAGAAAAATAAGTTATATATAGATCTAAAATTGTTCTAAATTTTCACACTTAAACTGTTGTGCAATATGTCTATAATCTTTCGTTTTTGTTTTATTCTTCCATATACCACTTCTGTTAAAAACTAAGTAAACGACTGATTAGAATGATATAATTTTAGTTAATAATCATTTTCAGATTTTGCTCAAGATGGAATGAGTGTATTCCGAAATGTTCGAACCTTGTAAACAAAACATTTTGTGTTTTATCAACCATCTTCATTATTAGACTTTGTTATCCCATCATGAATCCACTGCTAAGATGTCAGATACTTGGGAAAAACAAGAGGGAGAAAACTTTTTTTCGAAAAATAGGATGAATTCAGAAGCTATTAAAGGTTAAATAAATTCAAACAAATAACATATGAATGCTGTTTACATTCTAAAATTTTCTTAAAATTTAAGCATTTATTTATTAACAAAATGTTAAGGACATACAAAAGCATAAGTAAAGAATAGAGTCTACCTGATGAGGTGAAATTCAGTAAAAAGTAGATTGCAAAAAATCAGGTTTTAAGTTAATAGTATTAAACATGAAAATTCTACATTAAAAATACTTTTTTTACCTGAC